ATGTATGTCTACTGCACTATGATACTAGGATGTAATAAAATGTTCTGTTGTTTATTTGGTTGTCAAGATGAGGTGTTTAAAAATGAGGAATTTCTAGAAAGTGGGGGGAAAATTAATAAAAAAGAAAGATTTAAGCCATCGGATAAATAATTTAGATTATGGAGCTGTCTGCTGTAGGCTGCTTTAGATGTCTAATGTCACTATGACTCGGAACACCCTAATATAGGAACGTGACTTTATTTTGTAGTCAGTGGATGGAGAGGCGCATTTTCTGCAGGCAGCTTAAGGCACCCAAGGTATGTGCTTAAACTTAGAGCAAATATTCCAGTGGTTTTGGAAGTATTGTGTGCAGTGTTGGAAGGGGGACGTTCAAACAGCCAACTCGGGTGTTTTCAGGATCTGCTTTTAAAAACTGAGAGTATGTTGTGATGCAAGTAGGGATTCAGTCCCAAAACTTCGAGAAACATGGATAAGCATCCTCAGAATGTTACATGACTTAGTAGTGAACAATTGCTGTGACATCTGTTGCGTGAAATGCTATTTCATTTATTCTTGCAACAGTTTTGTATATTCATACAACGTAGTCTTTTGCACGAAAAGGATTTTGTAACCAGGTCTACACTGAAACACGTGTGGGTTCCCAAAGTATCAGTCTTGTAGTGCTTCATGTAGGGGGGAGAGGGGCCTGGATAATGCAGCATCCTGCAGTGGGAAGTTGCTGAATGGAGACGGGATTGATCGGTGACTCACGGTTCGCTTCGTTTCTTGTATGTGCTGGAGGGAAGTCTCAGCAAACAACATTACTTCAGCCAGCTTGAAGCTAAGCAAAGAGGTGTTTTTCTAAAATGCTGTGAAAGCAGACTCGGTATACTCTTAGGAGTTTAGTTCATTGTTGTATTTTTTTGCAGCGGTTCTTTGTGTCTTGTATTGATACCTTTGTAAAAGAAGGGCTTTGGTTTAATCGCTTTGCAGGCTACCTGCATTGCCTTATTTAATTTGGAAAGGAAATGAACAGCCAAGGTTTACTCTTTGTCAGAATCTTGCATAAGAATCTTTTAGCTTTTTTTGTTTGTAGACTGTCAAGTCATAATAGCCCTTCCAAAACCCTTTTGCCCCACAGTTGTACCAACACTGACTCTGAATTTCCTGGATATTATGAAGATACTGAGATAGTTTCCCTCTTTTTAAACTGACGGAGAAATACTATGGATTTAAGAAATTTTAAAACATTAGGCTCCAGAGGAAATGAAGTAACAACCCTAAGTATCACCTTTGTAATAACAGTTCCCCTGTGGATTTTTTTTTTTTTTTTTTACCACTGTGCATCTTTAGGCTTACTAATCCCTTATCAAAGTGTGCAAGTGCCTCCAAAGTACATGTGCACTTGGAGGGACAGGTGCCTGCTTCTCCAGTAAGGTGTGGTAGATACGTGAGGAGTGATATGATAAGAACTGTAAACCTGTGAGTGGGATGAAGCAGCCGTACAGGTAGGATTAGCAGAACACGCGTGAGGAAGGAGGATGGAGTAGGAGATGGGCATGCACAGAAGAGCCGTGAGCAGAGCTCTGAAAGTGAAGGCGAGTGGTTTGAACTTCATGGGAACTTTGCATATTAAGAAATGAAATTAGTGTGAGCACACCGGTCCTGTAGGGAGATTTTTATTGCAACTTTCTAAGAAGCAGAAGCCAACGTAACAGAGGAGAATAAGATTTACAGCTTTTCACAGTGTGTTGGGAGGGTAACTGGTCGAAATGCATGTATAGACCAAACTCGAAAGTGACTGGTATTAATGATAAACTGCCAGATACTGAGAACTGTGTTTTTTCTGTCTATAGCTAAGGGTGCATAAATTAACTCCAAAGGTAGCACTGAAGAGATTCAGTTAGCTTGGGTATTTGCATAGGTGCTAGTGATGAGCAGCATGCTGTTTAGCAAAATAGTCTTTGCACAAAAATTAACATTCTGATTATCTAATGTTTAAATAAAATGCACTCTTAAGTGTGTACTTCAGTTCTTCAGTCTACTTCAAATGTTACTTCTAAGAAGATGTAAGTTGAATCAGTGGATAGGTTCTCTAAAATAATTGTTTTATTCTAGCTCTTATGTTCTGGATTCAGTTCAGGTTAGATCAGAATTGTAGTTTTAGCTCACTTAGGGTGAGGTGGATGCAGTCCCTGTGCCACAGTGCAATGCTATGTAAGAGGTTAAAAAACCCCATGAAAGCTGTGATAAATTCTGAATTTGTGCTGATCTTGTTTTAAAAAGGGTTTAAAACTGTGGCTCGTGCAATTTTTTCCCAATTGGGCTTTTTTAGCTGCAGTATGACCAGCGTAATGCAGCTGTTTTAAGTCTGTGATGAAAGCCAGCTTAGTGTTCTTTCAGACGTTCTCCAACATGACAGCTGTTCTGCAGCTCTGTGCTCCGCGCTCGTGAAGACCATTGGGCAGTTATCTGTATGGGCAGAAAAATTACTCGGCATGCTTTTATTTGTAGGGAAGTAATCTTTAGGCCCCAAATGTGGCCAAACTTAGAATTCTCCTGACTTCAAGAGTAACTCTAGGTTGCGAATGTGCGGCAATAGAAAATTTTCTTTTACTGGGCTTGTGCACGATGTCATTGGCTGGTTAAACAGTTTCTCAGTTCTGCTGATTGCAATTCTTCTTGGAGGCTGTACATGTACTACAGCAGAATGATGACTTGATACGACCCAAAAAATGTCATTAAAACCAAGATGAAATAGAATTTCCTTTGGACTCTGAAATAGCTTATGTTATGTCTGGTGGCTCTGAAATCTCTAAAAAGAATCTTGTGGAAACCAAGAGAGAAATCTGACTGTGTAGCTGTGAAGGTGGTTAATATGCAGGGGATCCCCTTCTTTTCAAGATGAAAGAGATACTGGTATAGGCTGCCTTATGCACCTGAGATGTTTGAAAGCTGGTAAAGATTCATGACTAACTGACAACAGCATGTGTTGAATTATGATGACTAATCTTATTTTTGCTCTAAGTCCTAGAAAACACCTTGAGTATCATTAAAATATTGTCATATAATTACAGCCTGAATTAGGTATGTTTGTCTATTGCAAAATGGTGTACATGAAGCTTAAAAAAAACCCAAAACCTAACTCTGTTTCCTGAAGCGTTGCAGCTTAAATATCAATATTCTAGTGGTGTGCGAAGACTTGCTGAAGATCATTTGAAATCGAGATTAAAAAATGAATGCTTAATGGCTTCTTTTGGCTGCCCAGGCTGAGCGAGGTGTAAAGGAAAACTCGTGCGTGGAAGTGATTGATAGTGGGCATTCTTTGAGGCAGTATGGTGTAGCTTGAGTAATTCAGCTGTGACAGTTTGGTGCTGCTGTGATCTTCTCTCTAGCGGTATCTTCATCTCTTTCCCAGAGAGCCCTTCCGCCTGTCTGTGTGCGGGTGCCCGTTTGTAGAGGAGAGACGACGACTCCATCGTGCGCAGGGGGTTTCCATTCTCTCGCAGGACCTAGGGCAAGGATCGCTGTTCATAGAAACAAGCTTGTATTTTGTTCTCCATTTCTCATAAACCTCGTATAGCAAGTTCCTTGGAAACTGAGCAACTTTGAGATAAGGAGTCTTTTGGCAAGTTCATTTCAGTTAGTTGCTTTAAAAATAAATGACACTGCAGTTATTTCAGATAGCTTCTTTGGTGGGGGTGGGTGGTAAGTGTTGTATATATAACTGTGGTTTTGTTCTAGGACTACTTTTGTGATTGGTTTTGAACTTTCTGTTAGTTAAGCTGCTTCACACTTTACATTTATAAATGTATAGCTTTCCTTTTCACTTGATGTTTATGAAGAACTAGTGCATACTCACTTTTAAATGGAATCAGGAGTTTGTCCTGAATCAAAATGCAGCAGAAAAATAAACAAATCCTGTCCTCCTCTGACTTGCTACGTTCCATACTTTCCCCTTGCTTGTTATCTTGAATCAAGCGTAGCCTTGATTTCACATCCTCTCTTTCGCCTCCTCCTTCCTTTTTGACAAACCAGAGCTGTTTTAGATAAGAACATCAGAGAAGAAAGAGGAGTAATTTAGTTCACAGCTAAATACCTCCATTTCTTTAGTTCCTCACATATAAGCCCTAAGTTCTGGAAGATTTTATGCAGTGTATTAGAAATTTAACATAGTTCTTCATGTGTTAAATTTTTGGTTGTTTCAAAAGTATCAGGCTTTTTGCTTTTTAATATTATAAATAAATAGGTTGTGATAGGTCTTACTTCAAAAGATGATTTTACAGTACAAAATACCAAATATATATATGAAGTTACCAAATAGGATGGAGCTAGTCTTCATGGGTCCTAAGAATAAACATTATTTATATGTATAGGTTTTATGTATTAGTTTCTGCTAGAGGGTCAAGTTTTAGTAATGTACAGCTAAATATCATTTATGCACATGCATTTTTGTATAACAGGAGCTTAGGATTATGTGTGATTTACCAAAGAGGTTTGATTTCAGCTTCAGTTGTGATTAACAACCATCATAGTTGATTTTATTAAGCACAGGCCTTGGATTTTTGTATGGACTTAAACCATAAAAGATAGTATCTTGAGCATAGCATTTTGTGATGAAGTATGGTGTATGAAAATATGTTTAGGAATACAGATAATATTTACAAGTACTCTTCCTCTCTCCAGAGTTTTATTGCCGTATTTATGTTTAAGGGCACAACTGTTTTTAGACAGAAAAATCATAAACATTTCTCTTTTTCTATAAAGTTTCCCTTTGTGAACAAGACTCATCTTGTAAACATTTTCTGTGGAAATGAACAGTTGTGTAAATACGTGGGGATTTTGGGTGGGGGTGCAGGTTGTGGACCAGGATGCCTAGAAATTGTTTTCATTGCAGCAATGGAGAAATGGGGTGGACTGTGACTCAGAGTCCAGATAGTTGCTATCTGGAGTCGCCAAGTGTGGATTTGAAGGTGTTTATAAATAATTAATTTTGATGATTTGATTACTCTTTATTGTAGTTCTGCCTTTGACACAAAAACTGGGTTGCGTGTGGCTGTAAAGAAGCTGTCCCGACCATTTCAGTCTATCATCCATGCCAAAAGGACCTACCGAGAGCTGCGGCTACTTAAGCATATGAAACATGAAAATGTAAGTGGAAGGCGATGGTATGAGAAATTGGTCTGAAGTCGAACTGTCCAGTGAGCATCCAGCATGACTGCATTTAAGGATCTTGTTGCATATGTTTTTCTAATACAAATACAAAGCTTGCAGTAGTCCAGGGGATTATAGTTGTATAAAAGCATGCAGATTTAAAAAACAGAACAAAAAAACCCCACAGACCCCCCCAAAAAGCCACATAACTAATTTTGTATGAAAAAGTCTTCACATTTCCTATAATAATCTGGAAATTACTGATGAGCAGGTTCATGCTGTCTTAAGGATTTTGGACGCGGGTGTGATGTCACTTATATTTTCCTGCTTCCTTGCTGTAGTAAGCTGTAATTTTCGTTATGTTAAGAATTTATTTTAAAAAAAGAAAATCTCAAAGTTTGTTTTTAGTGTCTTCTGGAGGGTTTTTCATATTTGTTTGTTTTGGCTTGCCTGTGTCAGAAGGGTGTGGAGTAGATGTTCACTAGATTCCTGTAGGTAAAATAGGGAGGAAGAAAGGGTGTGTGTGCGTGGGGGGGTGGAATGGGATGTTTTTTTGTATAGGCCATCCACTTAAATCATCAACGGGGGAGCAAAATAGGATGTGACAAATGTTGTGTTGGACTATGCTATATACTGTCTAACCGTTTTTCGATATAACCTCCATTTGGTATAGAAAACAGTTGGTTGACCAGTTCTGTGTGTTTGTGGTGTTAACACACCAACATATTTATATTGCATGCTGTTTGGAGCAAATATTACATGCAGTGGAACAAAAAGTCTCATAACCTGCCCTCTGTAGAGCTGTCGGAATGTCAAGAGGAAAGGAAGGCTCTTGATTTCTTTTGTCCAAGCAAACTCCAACTTAGCAGAAGGGAAATACTGTTTTGGAAGTGGGCTGAGCAAACCTAGGACCTTTATCTAGCACAAAAAGCCAAACAAGCCTAATTTCCTTGGAAGGTCTGTTCAGGACTTCTTCTGTTGTGGCAGTGGTGGTTGTGCGGTGTGGCTCGTAACCACCGCAGTCAGCAGCTGGTATCCCGTAAATCTTCTCGGTGTTTTTAGTGTGGCTAACATAATTGGAACTTTTGACGCATGTATGTACTATCGTCAACAATACTTCCTCGGTGCCTCTGTACGATACCATTGTCTCAACAGTAGAGGTAGCATTTGATCCTGCTTAATATCCATCCCCTGGAGTTTTTTCTGGATCTCTTCTCATAGCTGAGGTATTCTCCAAACAGGAAAGCTTTTAATATCTGTTAAAAAAAACCCCAACAAACAAAAACAAAACAAACCCCGCCATATCGATCCATTTTGTCTAAGCTAATAAGGTTAAGTGATGGAAATTAGATTGTGACTGGTGCTACAACAGTTCTGTGCCTGGCATTCATTAATATTTTTTGATTAGTACTGCAAAGAGCCAATGTAGATTTGAGAGTAAGGGATAAAAAGAAGTTAAGTTGTTTGTATATAGAAATATTTATTATCAGTTCATCGTACCGTCATCTGTCTGTGGGAAGTTTATCTAGGTTGTGGTTTAAAAATCCTGCAGATGCAGAGATGTTCAGAGCCAGTTCAGGCAGGCTTATTAGTGCTAGTGTGTTGACTATACAGATCTCAGTTCAGAAGTAAAAGACTTGGTTTTATGTGGCACAGAACATACCAGCAAATCTGGTAGCTCTGGCGGTTTAAGGGGCTCAGGCATGGGATGGTTTTCTGTATCCTGTATCTAGTCTGGTCATGATGATCTTGAGCAAATAAATGGACCTGCAGAGCACTCGAGCGTGTCTGCGTTATATTTTCAAGTTCCAGGAGGCCTTGTTAGCTTGCATAAAGCACAACACTGAGCAGATGGGAGAGCAAATGGGTTTGTTGTCATATGAAGAAATTAATAAGCTCTGTAACATCCTAAAATGTTGTGAGGGGAAAGCAAAAGGTTAGGGGTTGGGTTCTGAATCTACTGGCGTTCACGGTTCCTTGGAAGTGAGTCAGTGATGTGCTGCAGAAAAACTGTATAGTGTCTGTGAAACTCGATGAGATTAGTTTGATACTGTGCTTTACAGTGTAGCAAGATAAAAATGATGAATGAAAAAATCCTGAGGTCTAGATAGCAAAGTCAGTTTTTGTCTTTCCATGCTAAACTGTGTGGATAACGTTGATTCCTCCTCCCCCCCCCCACCCCCCGCCCC